AAATGAATTGCCGTATGCAGTGCCCAGTATGAAAGTGACCCAGCCGGGCGTGGTGGCGCACGCCTGTAATCCCAGCACTCAGGAGGCTGAGGCAGGAGGATCGCAGTGAGTTCCAGACCAGGCTGGGCTACATAGTGAGTTCCAGGTCAGTGTCAACTACATAGTGAGACCCTGTCTCAAAAAAACTAACTAACTAACTAACTAAATAAATAAATAAAGTGACCCAGACCTAAGCACCATCTCCATGGAGATGGTATTAGAGGTAAAGACCTCTAGTTACTGTGCTCTGTGCGTTTGTTTGTTGCTGTTCAAAAAGCTGACAGGCCCTGACACTTTGTAACCTCAGTCAGTATTTCACTGAGCTCAAAGTAATGGGCAGTCTTCTGCCACGGTTACAGCGTGAGCCCCTCGTGCATGCCGTGTACACGGACGTGTGTGTGGCTCGGAGGCCCGGTGGGTGGTATGCGGGCTCCACATGTATAAAGAAGCAGAAAATGGGGCTCGGGACTTGGCTCAGCAGTTCGTTCCGCCTCCTGCCTTGCAAGCACAAGGGCCCAAGTTTGATCTCCGGTACCTCAAAAACAAAAAAAAAAGAAGCAGAAAAGCGGGGGGTGCAATGTTCTGCAGACTTCAGGGACCCGGGAAAAGCACCGTCCCGTAGCTATTCTCCTGCCACTCCAGGGACCCTGAGCACCACAGCTCCCCAGCAACCTCGCTTCTACTCATCTTTTATTACCAGCAAGGCTCAGTGCCTCAGTGAATTTCCTTTCCGATCATTTTCAAAAGACTTTTCTAATATGAGCATTGTTGGATATGCACAAGAAAGAGAAGACGAGGCAGGGGTCTGTGTGGGGACAGATTTGCATGAGTATGTACTCGCATTTAAATGATATACTGATAACATTGTGTTGCCATCTCACAGTGAAAGCTAATTAATTCGGCTATTGAGATGATAATGGCTTCTTCCTCGGTGAATACCAGAGTTAAAAAAAAAAAAAACAACAAACCTGCAAAATTGTTCTAGGCGTCATTTCTGTGACTCATCTTGGAATAAGGAGTTTTATCCTGTTAACTATTAAGCTGTCTATCAGTATCTATGACAGTTTTCAAAGGAATCATTCCAGGGAGGGGTTGGATGTTCTCAGTGGATAGACTGACTCATGCAGGGTAAGGTGTTAATTGAGCTCCTGCTTCGGTACCAGGAAGGGAACTTCTCTTTTTTTGCTTTTAGTTGGTTTTAAAATGCATGCTTTGCTGTTTGAACTGTCAGTATCAGCACTGATCTGAAACACAGTCTCTCTTTTGACTTTATTTCATTGGATGTGACATTTAAGAAAATGTTAAGATCTTTCCTACTACAATTCACGCCCGCTGACAAATTCCCAAACGCGTCCACGACGTTACCTTCCACGTGCCTAGCTTTTCCTTCAGCCTCGGTTTTCACATTTGGTCACCCGAGACCGCAGTGCCCTCCCCACCTCCTCCTCTCTCCTCTGTCCCAGTCCGTCTCGGCACTGACGACTCCTCAGCTGTGTTAAGCAATCGTGCCCAGTCTCCGTCTCCGCTCCTCCTCCACCTGCCCCAGGAGTCTTCCCTACACGCAGGGAGGTCATGGCTCCCAAGCCAAACACTTCAATGGCTTCTCGCGTTCTTCTGGAAGACTCGACTCCTTCGTTTGGCTTTAAAGGGCATCTAATTGCATTCTGCTGCCACCGTACCCCCTTATCCATCTCCTGCTAATTCTCCCATGCACTACCCTCCACCATTTGGGATTACCCACCCCTCCATGGCGCCTTTGCTCACTTCCCAGAATAGCTTTCCTCCCTCGTGGTCCATGTCTCAAAATCCTGCCTATTCTCCACGGCCTCGCTCACAAGTTCTTTTTCCTTCATGAAGTCGTGCATGACCCCACTGCTTGGAATTAGTAAGGGTCGTTTCCAGCCCATATAATGTCTTTTCCTAGAGACACTTTGACTTTTAGGCATTGGGAAATAGTCATATTGAAAATAATTGTTTTTTGCCTACTACTGGCAAATTACCAAAATAAACATGTAAATGTCTGCGCCTGTGATGAACTTGTTGCCCCTCCCCCTAACATGTGGTTCAACCTCTGCAGCACACGGTGAGGCTCTGAAATAATCACACTCCTAAACTCCGATAATTACTTAACTATCCTACCACCGTACCTTCTGTTATGCTATGGATGTACTTCACCATCCCACTAATTTGGGAGCTCTGAAGACAGAATATCTAATTCATCTTGTATCTCCTAGGTCAGAGAATGCAGCTTTCAGATAAGAGGTCGTTAATATTAAGTTATTCTACTCTCTTGGGACCCAAGGAGGCGATTGTGGTAGAAAGATTCAGAGTATTACCTTTAGAACTTGATTTCCTGGCTTTGAATCTGCTGGATTCACTTGCTAACCATGTGATCAGGGCTAAGGTATTAACCTTTCTTTACCTTTTTGTCTTCATTTATAATGTGGACAGATATAAAATATCTGCATCATAAAATTGGTATGAGGGGGCCGGGGATTTAGCTCAGTGGTTTTGCCGCCTGCCTTGCAAGCACAAGGGCCCAAGTTCGATCCCTGGTACCAAAAAAAAAAAAAATTGGTTTGAGGACTGAATAACAAGAGGTAAAGTGGTTAGAATAACAGCTAGGAAATACTTAAGAGTTAGCTATCATTCCAACAGTCTGCTAAAGTAGGAAGGACTCTTATCTCACTTCTCACCTGAAGGCTCTGGATGCTCAATTCCATTGTGAACTGGTTTTGCAGAAATTGCACAGTGGACATCTAAGAATTAGTTAAACAGTTCCCCTGTAGGAAGTTAGAGGTCAGCATGCTGTGTATCCTCCTCCCCACTGTAGCTGTGCCCTCCTTGCAATGCAGAGAGCTGTGAGAATTAGAAAAAGGCGACCCTTCCCCAGTACAGTCTGGACTCTGAGGAATCCCGCTGCCTCAAGTCTACTAAAAGGCTCTTCAACACGATCACTTGAGAAGGTCGATATGAATCTCTGGAAGTGGAGAGACACCCGGATCGATGTCTGACTTCCACCTGAAAGGTCAAAAGGCTGGAGGAAGGGTGGCTGGCCGCTAATGAGAGCTGCATCTGTCCCACTGAGTTTGCTGGACTAGAGGAGCCGCCATGGAGTTACCAAGTCCGTGCCAAGTGCATTACGTAGAGAAAACTCAGCGTAAAGGGTCTGGATCAAACTGTCCAATCCTAAATGCTGAAGAAGGCGATGCTGGCTATGACGGATACATTAGTCACTTTCCTGTCTCAGGTATAAATTGCCCAACAGCCACGACTTAAAGGAGGGGCGGTTTATGTTGGTTCACAGTCTTCTGGCTCCAAGGCAAAAATGCCTGGTGGGAGGGTCTGCATGGGAGACAGCTGCTCATACCCTGGCAGGCAGGAAGCAGAGCAAGGACAGAGGAATTGGGGACAAGAATACACCCTTCCAGCTCACAGTCCCAGTGCTGCCTTCATTAGACACCACCTCCTGATGAATCCACCCATGAGTATGGTGCTCCTGACCACCTTCCAAACACACGAGAATCTAACTATCGCGTGGGCTAGAATAGATATGCATTTGCTCTTTTCAAGGTTGTGCAGGGGAAAGTACCTCAGCGATAGGAGGAGTTTGCTAAAGACCACAACCCAAAGCAGAAAGAATTAACTTGCGGAGAACTTGCGGAGCACAACCAGTTTATGATGCAGTAATTCCTCCCTGTCCACAGAGGACATATTTCAGGGCCCCCAGTGATGCCTGCAACTTTGGACCACAGCAAATCTTATGTATACTATGCACATACTCCTGTGACACAGTTTAATTTATATATTAGGTTCACCAAGAGATTATCAACATAACTGATAGGAGAGTAGACCAGTGGTAACAACGTACCATGATAAAAGTTACGTGGGTGTGGGTGAGACACCTGGCCAGGGTATGCTGGAGAAAGGCGTGATTCCCATCAAGGACAGGATACCACAGGATGGTGCAAGGACTCTACCACACCACTCCAAGCAACATGCAGTCTGACACGTACGAATTGCTTAGTTCTGGAATTTTCCATCAGCAATTTTGAGCTGTGGTTAAACCCAGATAACTGAAACCTCAGAACTCCACCGGGCAAGCAGAGACACTCCTGTCACCTCTGCCCTGTGTCCCACATAGTTTCCCAGTCTCCCCCCCTTCAATTCTGGAAGTATCCACCCGGAGCCGGGTTTACATGGAGGAGATGAGCGGAAGTGGGAAGTGGGGAAGGGAGAGGAGGAAGAGAAGCCAGTCACATTCTGTCCCCGGGGCTGAGCATTTTACCTATCAATACTGCAGCTGGGCTGCACCTTCTCAAGGGAGTCGTTTTCTTTGAAATCAAGGTTGACATTTTTTATTGTTATGCCAGGCTGGCACATTAAGTACTGAATTGAAACCCTGAATGCAACTTTCACCCTGAATTGCATGTGAACAGCAACAGTTTTTGGGACTCGGTTCATTTCCAATTTCCTGCGCTGACTCCATCCAAAACTGATGGTTCCCCGTGCCTGCTCTGCCCAACTCAGCCTCCCACCAGAGCCCCATAACACTGGCCTCACTTGTTTAGCTTTTGGCATGACTTTTCCTTCAGCCGACCTGTAAACACAAGGATGGCAGGGCTAAAGTATTCACCTTTACAGCGCTGGCACCTAGTGCTCCCTGGCTCGTAGTTGTCCCGCCCCCAAGATTAAATGAAAGTAGTTTATCTTCGAAACAAACTAATACGGTTTCCTAAGAAGGCTATAATTCAAACTTGTCTATGTTTTGAGAGACAAATGAAAAAGCAGCCTTCTCAACAGTACGGCAGAATTTGTTTCCAGGATGTGCAAGGATTTCCTGCACACGTTCCCGAAGTTTGTGGGAAAAGGTCTGGCAGCTCTGAATCTGTGTGTTATTCTGAGAAGTTTCAGGGGCCTTTTTCTTTTTCTTTTTACACTTTTCAGTGTTTCTTTCGCAGGTTTCTTCAGGAGAAGCATTACCAAAAACGCCGTGTACAAGTGTAAAAATGGCGGCAACTGCGTGATGGACATGTACATGAGGAGAAAGTGCCAGGAGTGCCGACTAAGGAAGTGCAAAGACATGGGGATGTTGGCTGAATGTATGTATACAGGTATTCACTGCCAGCCGTTACATTCCACCGCAGACCCCTTAAGGAGGCAGTCGCCAGGTAACCCACAGCGCCAGGTGGACACGTCACACATCACAGGAGGGATCCACCAGGTGGTTCCTGAAAGGGGTCACGAACCACTGAAGTCGTCCCGCTAGAGAGAGCCTTCTTCACCTGAAAGAAGTGGCTGCTGCTTATTTGTTTGGTTGCAGGGATGATACATGCAGTGAGAAGGCATTCATTCAGTCACAACTGAAGTAACGCGCTTTACTGAGCTTACAAAGCATGACAGTTCTGAAAGTCTCTCCCAAATTCGATGGTAATATACTTATTTCTTGCTCAGTTAGCATAAAAATTCATAGCTGTGGAAGAAAATAGGAATGCTGCATAAGGTACCAATTGCCTCTGAGTTGTCTAAATAGAGTTTTAAGCCAAGTCCTTTTATAAAAAGATCCATCTTCCCTTTGCTCAGCTCTGAACCACTTTGTGTGGGCCTCCACAGGAAATTAACTACCCTGAGTTTTAATATAATTTTGTCCTTCAATCTGATAAAGAAACACTGTATTCACTGCTGGTTTTGTGAAGAATTGTAATCCTCATCAAGAACTGGAATGCATGTTAGCATAGAACACAATTAATTTTTCATCCCACGAATTCTAAGACAACTCAGATTCTGAGATATGTCTCGTTCCTCCTCAAAACACAAATAGGCAAACAAATGTCGCCAAGGAGATGATAGCATCCAGGGAAGGAATGCCACATGAAATAAAACCATGAGGAAAGTGACTGCAGTTCTATTGTTCCCAGACTACACAGGCTGGGAAATAATGCATGCAGGAGGAGGAAAATAGGTCTGTGTAAATAATCCAGCTCTGAAAGTTTCATGGTGGATGATCACAATCTCATTTTAGCATGTGTGAAACAGGAGCTTAAATAGAGGCTGCTGCTGCTGGAATCCAATCTTGCAATGGAAACTCTTACTTTGATCCTGGGTGGTTTATGTTGCTCATCACTTAAATATGAACTTGTTCCAGTTGAAGTTCTGTGGACAGTTTGTATAGCTGAGCCCCGGTATATAAGGCTAAAATATTATTTATGAGTCCAAATATTTCCAGTAACAGATGTAAATCTTTCAGGACTCTATAAAGTAAATTCCCCACACAAAGAACTTTCTAGAACTCTGTTTCATTAACACTGAGAGCAGAATAGAGGAGTCAAATGAGAGTATGAAATATTGTGCTATGTGATTTTTAAACCTCTGTGTAATATCAATCAAAAATGATATTATATGATCATTCAAAAATGTTCAATCGGTCGGGCATGGTGGCGCACACCTGTAATCCCAGCACTTGGGAGGCTGAGGCAGGGATTGCTGTGTTCAATCGGTCGGGCATGGTGGCGCACACCTGTAATCCCAGCACTTGGGAGGCTGAGGCAGGAGGATTGCTGTGAGTTCGAGACCAACCTGGGCTACATAGTGAGTTCCAGGTCAGTCGCAACTATACAGTGAGACCCTGTCTCAAAAAAACAAAGACACAAAACAAAAGAAAAAAATGTTCAATCACTTTGTGCTAGATTTCTATCACTTAAAAAACAAAACAAAACAAAAAAACGGGCTGGGGATCTAGCTCAGTGGTTCCGGTGTCTGCTTTGCAAGTGCAAGGACCCGAGTTCGATCCCTGGTACCAAAAAAAACAAAAAACAAACCTAAGATAACCTAAAAGAAAAGGTTGATATTGGCTCACAGTTCTAGAAGATTTAGTCCACCAGCAGTTGGACCCATTTTGTTGCTTTTAAACTCCTCGTAGGGGTGCAGAATGGCAATAGTGGGGAATATATAGCACAGGAAACTTCAGTTCATGAACAGGAAGCAAGAGAGAGGAGTCTGGTATCCCACAGTCCCCTCTGAGGCCACACCTCCAACGACCTAAGGCCCTCCCACTGGGCTCTACTTAAAGGCTCCACCAACACCACCACCCAATAGCACAACACTGGAGACCAAGCCTTTTACACGTTAGCCTTTGGGGGTGGCATTCAATGTCCAAACTATAGTACTACTTGATTATCCTAACCTTTAACTATATTTTTCAGTAATCTGTATAGTTGTGAAAATCAACAGGATTTAAAAATTTTCCTTGAAGGTGTAAAGTCTTGTTTTACTCAATAAATTTAGCTCTGTGTTTTTAATCTGAAGGTCAATGTACTTCTTATGGTGTAGTGATGGGTTAAAGTAGTATCGATGTTACGTTGTAAAACACCAGCTCTTCAGGTCTAGGCCATAGCGAGAGCATTCAGCCTTTTTTGTTGTTGTTACCGGGGATCAAACTTGGGGCCTTGTGATTGTGAGGCAGGCGATGAAACCACTGAGCTAAATCCATGGCCCACATTCACCTTTTTATTGACAGCACACCTGGCACTTTGTATAAAGCTTCAGTAGCACACATTCATTGTATAAAGCCTCTTTAAAATGATTTAATTACATCTGATCTACATAAAGCTCTGTGAGGTAGATATTATTTGCGTTTTACAAATGAAGAAATAGACTCACAGAGGTTAAACTTCATGTGCAAGGTCTGGTCCTAAACCTGGGCCTTGTCCTAAATACCTGAAAGGGTAGAATTAGCTCGGTATTACATTGCTTGTATTTTCTGAGCCAACCATGCAGAGCCGCTTCAGGACCGCACACCTGCCAGAAACGGCTGTGATTGTGAAGTCTCTGTTTATTTTTGCAGGCTTGTTAACGGAAATTCAATGTAAATCTAAACGTCTGAGGAAAAACGTGAAGCAGCATGCAGCTCAGGCCACAGACGAGGACGGCGAAGGGCGCGACTTGCGGCAAGTGACCTCCACCACGAAGCCGTGCAGGGTAATGACGTGCAGGGGTGTCTGCCACAGCCAGCGGGAGGGAGCGTCTGAGGCCTCGTGATGGCGGCTGGAGGAGTTTCCACTGCAGTTGTGCATTAACATGGGTTCCTTCTTTTTAATTTTTTTCACTTTTATTGGTCCATGCTTGCAGTACATAATGCTGTGCCTGGTGGGGAACTGGTGCACTGCATAACATACCTGCACCCTTTCTATCCACCCCCTTCCCTCACCTCCTCCCTTCATCCCTCCCTCCCTCTCTCGGTCCTCTTCTCTGTTGAGAAAGACCTATCTCCCTATTTCCTATGGTCTATGTTTTATTTTGCTTTTTAATTTATTTATACTTTGGGTTTCTTGTAGCTTAAATATAAGCTGCATGTCTGAATTATTTCAGTTAACATTCTTGTCTCTCAGGGCATCCATTTTCCTACAGATGACTCAGATTTAGCCTTCCTTATGGCCAAGTGGCACTCCACTGTGTTTTGTCTTTTGGTTCTTTGTTTATTTGTGTTTTGGTACCGGGGATAGAACTCAGGACCTTGCACTTGTGAGGCAGGCAGTGAAACCACTGAGCCAAATCCCCAGCCCTCCACTGTGTTTATTTTATTTTATTTTGTTTTTTTGGTACTGGGGATTGAACTCAGGTCATTGCGCTTGCAAGGCAGGCCACCGAACCGCTGAGCTAAATCCCCAGCCCCCCTCCACTGTGTTTAATTACCACATTTTCTTTTACTACTCAAGATAGAAATTCCAGCTTTGATGTAAACCTTCAAGTAGCAGGTAAAAAGCAAAAGTTCTTCTTCTCCTGGCTCCATTTAATTCCTACTACCACGAGACGGCCAGTGGGAAGGATTTGGTATTCGGCATAAGGCAGAGTTTCCATCATTGAGAAGGGAGGCTGGGATTAGGCCTTATTGATAAGTGAGACAGGGCACATGCACATCTGTGGACCAAGAGAGAAAAGCCCTTCCTGCTGAGCCACAATTCTAAAGAAATTCTTGGAGCAACTTGGGACAAAATAGGGGGGTGGCGATTCGGATGATTGGATGAATGCACAGAACATTTGGAAGTTTGAATTTGCCGTTAGCCAAAAGACCAATAAGCCACAATTGTCCGAGCTATACTCTGCTCGGGATTGTTACACTACTGGCAAGGAGAACTTCCTCCAGTTTTAGCTTTTCAGATACATTATTTTGTATTCATTTCACAAAAAATAATATTGTAGAAAAGTATTTGCTATAGTGCTGCATCCAGTGACCCTTTGGTATAAGGAAGGAAAGTGCTGAACCATTGTTCACACCGCTCAGAACAGTGCTGTTAAGGGGAAAGAGATATTCGGGGTGTGGATTGCCGGGATTGACGACTCTGTGTTGTGGGGGCTGGGAAACAGTTTTTCTGTGAAGTTCCAGGTGTTTAGGTTCTGGCCACATGGCCTCTGCCATAGCTACTTACTTCTGCCACTTGAGTACAAGCTCCGCACAGATGGATAAAGGGGCATGGCCGTGCTCCAGTGGGGTTGTGTTTTATGGAACCAGTGTAAGACTTAAGTCTCACTTTTACTCTTGGGGCGTGAACAGCCAAAAGGCCTCCCCGATGCTGAGCCCTAAAGCGCAGCGAGGCTCCAGGCGCTTGTCAGACAGCGAGAGTCACCCAGGAAGGAACACACCAGGCTGGATGGCAAATACACCTTTATTAGTCTGGCTAGACGGCACTCCTGAAGCCAAGCAGCTCAGAGAGTCAACTGCTCAGAATCAGAGGCCATTTTTTATAGGGCTATGGGGGGAGTTTACACTCGAAACTTACAGGAAGGGGACAGAGGCAAGTGGTCATCAATCATGTACTCTACCGTTATGTACTAATGATCAGCAGATCTATTATCCATTGTTTCATAGATTGTGGTGTTCAGAACATTCAGTTACGGGCAAACAAGGAGTGGAGTGATTCACTTTGGGGCTCTACGTTTGTTACAGTTTCTATCTGGTTTCCCAGCTACTCCCAAGCAGTTACGTAGTAATTCACAATTAATCATTACTTATCCTGTAAGGGGTGGGGGAACAATAGTCTCTGGGTCATTTGCTGGTCAACGTGGAGTCACTCTAGTTCAGCAAGGCTCTTACACCAGGTGGACTTTGTCCATGGACCACAGTTTCTGAACTCTGGATGCGTTTAGATGGAGCTTCCATTTTATATGTGGAAACCTTTCCTTGGTTATGGCTAAACCTTCAGCCTTCACCAACCTTGGCTACGGAAGGACCCTCTGAGCTTCACATGCACACGACTATTTATTCCCAAGAAGTACATGAAGGAAATGTTTTGTCTTTCTGTGCTAGATAAGAAGGTAAGCAGCTTGAAACAACTGTAGTGAAATAAGATGTTTGTCCCACAACCCTAAGGAAGCAATTATGCATATTGTATTAGAGCTCGTAGTTCCTGTTTGTATTTAGGCCTTAAAAAAACCTTTGCTATTACTTAATCGAGAGGAAGTATGCCTACCACCACCCTCCCTAACACTTTTTATTTTCTTGCCAGTGTAGGAGAAAACTGAACTCACCTCAGATCAACAGAATCTTCTACGTTACATTATGGATTCATATAGCAAACAGAAGATGCCGCAGGAAATAACAAATAAAATGGTATGGATAAGATCTAAAATATATTCGCTTACAGTTAACATTTTCTGGGACTTTTACTATCTTGAAGGTGGAATTTATATAGAAATGTGTCACTTGAAATGATTAGATCTGAGAATTTAGGTTATATAATTAAACTTTTAGCAGTGTTAAGCTGTTAAACAGAAAAATGTCTCATATCTATCTTGTTAATAATTACTCTCCAAAGATCTGAGGAAATATGAGCATGGTCTTTAAACTTATTTTTTCAATCTGGGTTTTCTTTAGTCTAATGATTTTATATTGATGATACTTCTTTTATCTATGTAGTAATCATTTTTTCTTAAAATTTAGTTAAAAGAAGAATTCAGTGCTGAAGAAAATTTCCTCATTTTAACAGAAATGGCTACCAGTCATGTGCAGATCCTTGTAGAATTCACAAAAAAGCTGCCAGGTATTTTTAAATTTAAATGCTTACTATTTATAGAGTGTGCAAATATGTGATTTAGATTACATTGACCATCTTTCATATGTTTTGTTCAATTCTCAACACATTCCTGTGTGATCAGATCTATCATCACTATTATTATTATTATTATTTAGCTATTTCTCTGCTATACTGTATAATCTTGTGACACTGAGAGAGGCAGGTCTTCTCATTATTAAATAGGAATCATGTCATGTCTGATTTAGTGTGTCTAACTACTACTAACTACTAGTAGGATATTTAAAACCATTTATAATAATTCTTCCAAATCATTAGATGAAACTCAGAACTTTGCAAAGTTGTTATTCATCTGTTTACTCACTCCGTAAGTAGTTGCTGATACCTATGCTAAACTACATGCTTAGCTCTTATCTTCACTGGGAATGGTTTAAGACTATTATATTTGTTGTGGTAACACAGACCCACAAAAGTGTTTGATCAAAGAGGAATTCGTTGCTGATTGTGGCAGAGAAACACAGGAAGCCTTCAGATAGGGTGATATTTGAGTTGAGTTGGGAAGAGAGGAGAGTTTTCCAGTTGGCGTGGAGGAGAAGGGGCATTCCAAGTTAGTCTGCTTGTGGAAAAGTAATGAGGCATGAATAAGAATGAGATTATTAGAAATAGGAGCGGAAATTCAGTGTGGCTGTACTGGTGTCCGTGGTAGGCTCATACTCCTTGGTGATAGAGATTTCAGTGGCATTTACATTTGTGGAAAGGGAAAGGAAGTTTTCTTGACAGAGATGTGCCTCTACCTTATTTGTATGAGATGGTTTTGAAAGGGGGCAAGATGTTAATATGCCATTGAATAAGTCCAAAGAAGAGGGCTTGAAATGAAGCAATAGCAGTGGGAGGTAAGAAGAAATACAATGAAGACAGAATGAAAACTCGCTGGGCCTTGGTGAACAATGTATTGCGAGGTGAAATAGGGAGACTTTTGCAGTCATTCTTATGGGGCTAGTACAGAAATCTGAATGCAGTCTTATCCCCAGACTGAAATTCTTTCTGTCATATTGTCAGTTTAAATTGTTACTGCATTGTAAAAAAAATCAGCACATTGGACTCCCATGGTTCAGAAGATTATGATACATACCTTATATGTCGCTATTGCATTGTAGTGTTAAATTACTGAAGGCAACTGTTGACATAGGATTTTAATTAGGCACATTAATCTGCCTTCTCTTGCCAGCACTGTGCTATTGTTTTATTAAATGTGTCATAAATAGACATAAGCCTACATAAAACTCATAAAATGTGGGGAGAAAGTTCTCACTATCATCGAAACATCAATATTCTTTCACTCTTTATTAAAAATGGAACAGAAACTTAATTTGTTATATGCTAATTAAAGCCTCAGGCAATCTTGGTCAAAACACAAGATCACATGATAGTCAAAGGGGGGGGAGAACTGAGAAAGTGAAAGTATGATTTTTTTTTTTGGTTATTTATGGGGAAAGATTTATTCAGTTCGAGTGGTCAGTTGGTATGACCAAGAAATAATTGTAGGGAAAAAAAAAATCCCATTCATAAGAATGAGAAAGCAGTGGCAGAATCTTTATATCTCTTCATTCCCAGTGCCTCACCTCCTTTGAGGAAGGGTACAATTAATGTATGTTCAAGAAAAAAAATGAGGGCCGGGATGTAGCTCAGCAGTGCCGTGCCTGCCTGGCAAGCACAAGGTCCTGAGTTCAATCTCCGGTGAGGAAAAATGAATAAATAAATAAATAAAAATACAGAAAGAAACAAAAAGCAAAACACTCTCAGAAGAAAAAATAATTTGATGATAATTATAGAAATGACATCATTATATATAGTAGTATTAGTGATATAACAATACTGAAAAGGGATTTTGTGAAAACAAACTCCTAATCAGTTCACGGAGCCCGCAAGGTGCCAGGTCCGGGCGCTGTCCAGGGTACTGGAGACCCAAGAGGAGCGAGGCGAGGTGCTGGCCCTCAGAGGAGCTCCTGGCTTCTCCAGGAGCGCGACTCCTAATCCTCAGCATGGCTCTCGTCTTTACGTTCCCATTGTCCTGGTACCCCTTCCTAAGTCATTCAGGCTCTGATGGCACCATTTACCCCATGAGTGTGTGCCAGGATGCACAGAAGCTTGTGGTTTGTTTTTTGTTTTCCCCATTGTTTCACCTGTTCTCTCAATTATCTAGCAAATAATTTTTGGATACCTGTCACGTGCCAGGCGTCAGTGATACAAAAGTAAACAAAGTCTCTGCCTCCAGAAGTTTGTACTTCAACAGAGGTGGCAATTAACAAAAAAGCAAATAAACAACTCTCCAATATTATGTCGGGGGGGTAAATTCTACAGTCGGAAGTGCAGCAGGCATTAGGGTTAGGGACGAGTGAGTGGGGGGGCACTGCTTTCAGAAGGATGAGCCTGGGGCAGAGATCTGGTGGACTGTGGAGGTATCTGGAGAGAGGATTCGTCCCTGAGGCAACTGCAGGCTCACAGCAGAGCTGGGTGTCACTGTGACTGAGCACACAGTGAGGGAAGGAGAGGACGAGCAGGTGCTGTAGGAGCCTGGCTGGGAACTTTGCATTTTCTGGGTGACATTAGGTTCTTTTCTGCTGGCAAATATTTTCCATATTTTTTGTTTCTTGCCCACTTTGGATGGCATTGTTCTGAGCTCAGAGAAGATTTGTCCACTGGACTCTGACAGATCATGTGGGGTGAGGCAGAGGGGTTTACTTATGCTCTAATTTTGACTAAAGAGTCAGCCAACTATTCTAGATGCACATGAAGTCTTTCTAGCTGTGGATACTTCTGCACACCAGCTGTGACTAGAATCATGACCCCAAAGAATCTGCTTGCCTCCTGTCTCTGAGGGTTGCTTCGTGTGAATCAGTCTGTTTCTGTCATAGTGTGGGTATCTGGTGTGGAGGTAACATCTCCTTTTGCTTAACCCGTACAATAAGTCTTGCTCAGTGATGATTAAAAATCAGCTTCTATTTTGAGGGGTGTGATACTCAACAGGCTCTATTTGAATCCCTTGAATCATAAAACAAGTACAAAATCACTTGATGTTATGCAAAGACTGTGCAAAATGTTGTGGAAAGACCGCTCCTTAACCCATCTGAGTATTGTCTTTACTCAGGATTTCAGACTTTGGACCACGAAGATCAGATTGCTTTGCTGAAAGGATCTGCTGTTGAAGCTATGTTCCTCCGTTCAGCTGAGATTTTCAGTAGGAAACTCCCAGCTGGACATGTTGACCTACTGGAAGAGAGAATTCGAAAGAGTGGTAAGTGATTTGGCTACTGGTGAAAGACTTTGGTTCTGCGAGTAAAAACTGGCTCAGCCCTGGAAGCAGGATCTTATTTGCCTTATGTGACATTGCGCACCTACCGTGCCTGGCAGGGAAGATGACGCCGAGGTGTTCGATGTGAATGGGACCTTTGGAAGCTTGAAATAGCGAAATACAAGCAATCTTTCTTCACTCACCAAGATGAAGGGTAAAGGGGAGATTTTTGTAAGCATTGAAGACTAGTCTGATTTTTCCAAGATAGTACAAAACACTGGAATTATTTAGTCCCCAAAAGATTCACTTATTCAGAACCTTCAGGTATGAAATATTATGTATCCAGCTATTGTCCATCCTCATTCAGAATAAAATAAGAATAGGGGCCAGGGATTTAGCTCAGTGGTTCCACTGCCTGCCTCACAAGCACAAGGACATGAGTTCGATCCCTGGTACCAAAAAAAAAAACCCAAACAAACAAAATAAAATAAGAATTAATTATAGTAGCAACATATATTACACACACACACACACACACACACACACGCACACACACACAGGTTCCAGACAGGGTTCTAAATATTTTACGTATATAATTTCATGAAATCCTTCTAAAAATCTTATTAAATGTGTACTTTTCCTGTTGCATTAGAGATGAGAAAACTGAGAGAGGTTAAGTTGTTTTCTTGAGACAGAGAGGAACTCTGAATGCAAAAGCCTTGTATAATTTATTTTTGGCAGCATGTGGTGCTGAGAATTGAACCCAGGACTCTTGCGTGCTGGGCAAGTGCTCTACCCATGAGCTGTTCCTCAGCCAAAGCTATGTGTCTTATCTGTGATACTCTAGTACCTCTCAAGAAATGGGATGAAAGAGGGCAAATAACTCTGTTTAACTTATGGGGTAGTGCTTTGACAGAGAGGGTCAAGGAACATGAGATCAATTCTAACAAATCTGTGCCATTAACCAGAAGAAAATTCCTAAAATGAGTTCTTATTTGTCTGAGAGGTTTTGTGTGTGGGTTGGGGAAAGGAGGAGAATCAGAGGTGATGACTTCTCAAGGCCTTACTATTCTACAGTCAACTGGAACAAGTTTGAAGACCTGTAGAGCCAGGGTTTTATAAAGGAGGCCCAGAGGAAAGTGTTTAGCCTGTTCCCCATCTGGGATATAAGGAAAATAATTTGAAAGCTGAAAATTGTTTTTACAAGTTGTCTTCCCATTAGTCATCAGTTTCCTCTCTTAGTTAAAACCTTAAAGTTATTTTTTAAATTCCCTGTTCCACTGGTAGCAACTAGAGACGTGTTATTCTTCTGTACCATCGTTGCGTCGTTTGAGTGAGCACTGAAGGCAGGGACTTTGGTGCAGTGACGAGGAGGACCACCCCGTCTGCTCGCTCATTGCTCACCGTGGAGTGGAGACCGGTGAACCGCACGGGGTCAGAGGAGAAGGTGGAGAAGGGCTGAAAGAGAGGTGACTTTTTCTAGTCTAGAAGGGTTTTGCTAGGGTCTGATCTGGGTCTTGAGCGAGGTCTGATTTGGATGTGCGGGGCAGAGGTGCAGGAAGGAGGGACTGGTGACCTTAGAAACAAGCAAGAAAGCACAAGGCATGCGAGGGAAGAGGAGTGAGTCATCGAGTGGATTTGATAAAATCGTACATTAAAAAGAAGTGGGGGGCTGGGGATTTAGCTCAGGAGTTCTGCTGCCTGCCTCGCAAGCACAAGGACCCGAGTTCGATCCCCGGAAAGTGGGGAAAGCCAGAACCGTGTGGTTGAGCTAAGGATTTTAAATGTTGGGCTAAAGATTTTGTTGTTTTCTAAGTAATGTGGAGACAATGAAGATTTGCATGCAGAGGATGGAAAGCACTAAATTACCAATTGCGACTCCTCCTGTAGAGGTTAGGGTGAGCCGGGACGCGCGATCTCTCTGAGGGGCAGGAAATTTCAAGGACATGACTCCAGGCACTGGGGACAAACACGGGCTTTGAGAGATGTATTGGCTCTGTTTTTCATTTTTTGAAAGACATTGTGTTGTTAAGAAATATGGATTCCATTCTGTCATTCTTAAATATAGATTAAGGCCCAGAAAAGGAAAGAAATAAAATCTACCAGATAAATGCCAGGCGGTCGATTTTTATCATCTACCTGCTCTGGACTTTAAATCGTGTGTGTGTGTGTGTGTGTGTGTGTGTGTGTGTGTGTGTGTGTGCGAGAGAGAGAGAGTGTGTGTGT